CAGTAGGCTCACCACTGGCGCCTTCTCAAGGAAATCCACATGTGCACAGATGAAGGAGGAATTTCTGTCATTTTTATTATGCTCTTTGGGGAAAACACCCTTCCTAGTAAGACATACTTCATTATCTCTCGGTTCTTAAAAAGCATTTTTCATTCTGAAGAATTAAAGCTTTCTGTTCTATGTTTGGAGACACAGCTCACTAACACAGGAGTCAAACGCCTGGCTCTGCAGAAGATGAACATAGAGCACTTTCACTGTGGAGCCTGCGCCCCAAGACAGAGTGACCCTTCTAACATGACTATTGCTGCTTAATCCCAAATATATCAAAGGACAGCACATAATTTACTAAGTGGCATTATCATTGCTGAGGAGATTTGGGACAAAATTAGTGGACAATTGTAAATAAAATTTAAAATACAGATGTCCTCAAATCTCATGATAAGCTCTCGTTAAAAGTAGAAATATTTACCTTCAAGGTTTATAAGTTTCAGTTCATTGTGACTTTTGAGCTGCAAAGAGACTTGTGAGTTTATTTTATTGTTTTTTGTTGTGCAGCCAACTGAAAGTCTTTTAGGGAGAAGCATTGTTATTGATTAATTAATCAGAAGTGTGAAGAATCTAGAGTTTTATACCTATTCATCACCAGTAAGAAGACAGTGATTGGCCCTTACTGAATAGCTATGATCCAGACTTTCCTTTTTTAAAATTAACCCTCCAGAGTATAATTGCCATCCGTTAACAAAACTGGCAGCCAGAGTTTAAAGGCGCCATATCATTTGTTCAGTCCCTGGCTGTACCTATGGTCTGATTCTGAGTTTCTTGAATTCTAACATTCAAATCCCGTTGTCACTTCTATGAAAAGAAAACAACAACAGCTTAATTAGTTACCTGGTCCTAATAAAGTCATGGAAACTAAAAGTTAACCCAGAACAAAAGTTAATTTTTTACCCTTCAAATAACTTGAGAACGGATTACAATGTCCTTCAAAGTCTTTACAAAACAGCTATGTATCAAGGAAGAACATTTTCTAAGAAGCAAAATATAGATAGAAATTTGAACAAAGAGAAAGGCAGAGTTGGGCATGAAGGAAATACGGAAGAGAAATGATAAATGGATAAATTAGACCTAATTGCATCAATTCTTTTTATAACTGTGAGGCGGTGAGGACTGATCAGGGCTGTTAACTTAACTGCTCCCATCTGGAATCAATAAAAACCCAAGCACCAAGCAGCTGGACATACCTGTGAAGGACTGTCGTGACTGGATTACTTGGGGAGAAAAGACCCCATTAAGTTTGGCCACACCTTCTGATTGCCAGCCTATACAAAACGGCAAATAAGAAGGGAACGTTCACTTTTCCCTGCTTCCCTTCACTCCTGATGTCAAGCTCATCTATCCTGAGCTGAGGCATTCTCTCACTGGAGGAAGAGGCTACTTCTTCAGGATTCCAATGGAGACTGAAGACCAGCTAAGATATCCAGTCTCAAGGATTCAACAACATCTGGATTATTGGCCCTTTGGTTGTTGAATTAGCTGCACCACAACTTGTAAGTGATTAAAGTGTGTGTGCATGGGGGGGGTGTCTGGATCTGGATCTGGGTCTGTGTGTGTGTGTGTGTGTGTGTGTATTGTGGTGACTTGGAAAATATGACCCCCAAGGGTGCATAACTATTAGGAGTTATGGCTTTGTTGAAGTAGGTGTGACCTTGTTGGAGGAACTGTGCTACCATGGGGGTAGGCTTTCAGGTCTCCTATGCTCAAGCTATGTTCAGAGTGATGCGTTCACTTCCTGTTGTCTGAAGGAAAGGACATAAGAATCTCAGCTCCTCCTACTCCAGCACCATATCTGCCTGCATGCCACCAGGTCCTGCCATGATAATAATGGACTAAACCTCCAAAATGGTGAACCACCTCAATGGAATGTTTTCCTTGATAAGAGTTGCTATGATCGCGGTGTCTTCTCACAGCAACAGAAACCCTAAGACATGTATATATAAATGGATTCATATGTTTTTTTCATTCTTTCAATGCTGTTCCTCTGATGAATCCTGACAAAGACAGAGGGTTTGAGAGTTATTCTAAAAAGCTTCTTATAAATATAAGGACCCTTTAAATTCCGGGTGGTCACGCAGAGTAGCAAGCAAGATTTATGAAGCTTTGCTCCCATGAGTAGACTTGTTAGCAACTTCCACCTACAAATCAAAGAGTGGCCAGGGGTGCTTAGCTATAATTTGTGTTGGGGCACAATGGTTTTACCCTGTAAGCATTTGTGTCTTGTACTTGTTTAATAAAATGCTGTTTGGCCAGGAGCCAAGCAGGAAGTATAGGCATGGCCTTCTATAGGCTCTCAAGTACTGGGCTTATTAGCTCGCCTCTTTCCTGTTTGGAATCATGACTATTTTTGATTACAGAACTGTTAGCACATTGACCAAGAGCAATGAACCACCAATTCCAACACACCTAAGAGCATAGGATCCTCTGACACAGGCCAGCAAAAGTAAGATTTTTAAATATTTTCCATCAAAACTAAGCATTGCATCTTCTAGAAACTAAGTAATATGGATGGAAAATGTGCAGTCTCAGCACACACCTAACTCTGATGCAGTTTCTGTGTGAGATCTTATAAAAGATCTCCAAAGGCCCTACAGTGTTTGATCTAGATAAGAAAAAGTAACCTGCAGTTCACCTTACAAGAAAACAATATACAAGAGAAGGCAATGACATACATAATACTTCAGGGAGCACGTCCACACAGAAACAAATGGAGGAAGAGGAAATGTTATTCCCAAGTCAGTGTGGCTTTTATTTAAACACACTCCTGAGAACAAAGAGATTAATCAGCATGCACAGATATGGCCAAACAGGGCCCAGTTCTACCCCACATGTATTTTCTCCTCTGCCCATGCACAGATTAACACACCATTCCCAGGCAGGTCACTGCAGAATCTCCTCCAATTTTGTTCTGTCCTGTAGACTGGGCGTCACCGAAGGTCTTAATTCTCAGCCAGTCATCTGATGGCTTACAGCTACTTTGGTCTGTTTTTGTTTGAGTTGGGAGCATGGAATTATGTTGCTTCCAGGCACAGTTCCAATTTTCTTGTTTTGATTTTAAGCTCTCTTGCAGTGAATGAAGCACTGAGCCCGGATATTACCTAAGCAAAAACACTTCAGAACCAACTGACAGCCCCATACCATCAAGGCTGCGTCTTTGTTACTACTTTGCCTCTGACGCAGACAAAGGGACATTAACACAACGGAGATTTTTTTTTCAAATACCAAGTTGATAATTTTTAAATTTCATAACATTTACTCCAATTTGTGTTTATTTGTGTGTGTTTGGTCATTTTTGTTTGTCATATTAAAAGTAGAGCTTGAGGAGGGCAAGGATTTAGACCCACTTCTTATTAGTGCTGGGCACGTGTCCCAGACACTACCTGTATACAATACCATGGATGAGAATTTCCGCATATCTCTCTCATTCTCACACTTACAAAATAGTGCTGTTATTAACTCTGATAATTCCATATATGAGTGCATGGTATTCAGAATCTTTTTTCCTTTTATTTTCGAGATTATACTATAATTAGTACATTTCTCCTTTTTCTGTATTCCTCTGGCCCAGCTATCCCTCTTCCTGACGTCGGCCCAAAGGACTTGACAGCCCACTCCACAGATGTTGGTACTTTTTAAAAACAGTAACAGCCAGAACTGGCAATGATAAAGTTGAAGTAAAATATCAATATGTAGAAATTTCCAGATAGAAATTTGGTAAAAATATAAAATCATTTTGATAGAGTAATTCCATAACTTGAAATGTATATTACATAAACAATCACTGGGGCCTAGGAGATAGTTCTGGAGTTAAAGTGCTTTCGAGGCAAGTGTGAAGCCTGACATTCAGATCCCCAAACAGTGTAACTGCCAGGTAGGCAAGGGGCCTGCCTGTCATTCCAATGCTTAGAAGACAGAGAAGGATTTTCAGAGCAAACAGAATAGGAAATGAGCCATGATCATGAGCACTGGGCTCAGTGGGATACCCTGTCCAAATTACTAAAGTAGAGAAAACAGGGGAAACTCCTGAAGCCAGCCTCAGTCTGCACATACATATCCCCACACGTGTGCCCATACACATGAGAACACACATACACACGAGAAAAAGGATGAAAAAGTCAACAATGTCATGCAGATAACGGTATGCAACTGAAGTGAATTCCTGCTACAGAATGGAAGAATGAGATGCACCTGCAACAAACCCCACACTAGAAGGGAGCCCAGTCAGTTATGCGCTTCCATATATCTGGTGGCTGTTCAGACAACAGCGTCAAGATTAAGGCCGACACAACTCCTGCTATGACACATAGATATTACTGAGCAAACAGCAATATACAAAATTAAGTAAAGTGAAGATTATATTTTTTTCTGTGAAGTTCATCGCTTGAATGTGTTGTTGTTGTTGTTATTGCTATTGTTGTTATAAAATTCAAACTGAGTGCAAAGTCCTAAGCTCTCATGGATTTTAAGTCTCCAAAGAAGGCAGGAGCAATGGAATGCTATTGTGGAAATATGCTGAAACTGGTCAGCCATTTGCCTCTCAAGTTCAATTGGCTTTTAATAGCTGATTGTCGGCTACTGGGCTCCGGTCAGCAATACCAACCACAACTCTGTCTTGATCCCACCTGCAGTTCACAATTCTGCAACAATGTGATAGAGTGTGCTGTTGTTAGTGGATCAAAAGCCCGGTGGATGGATTTCATTAGAACTTGGCAGTAGATCTGACTCACAAAAATACACGACCACTTTTTCTCACCAGTCAGCTTCTACTGTTATTCACTACATAAGAAATGAGTACCAAAATAAGTAAATTGTGCTCATTAAACTAGTTTCATATACTAATCACACTTAAGACATCCTTTTTTTTTACTCAGTACTGAAGTAGGCTAAATTCAATTTTGTGAAACATGTACTCAAATCACACAAACAGAGACACTTAGAAAACTTACATAAAAGAATCCCAGTGGTCCAGATATGTATGGCATTTTAATTCCCAAGAGATACTTGACTTGTGAAGTGACAACATGGGTGGCGGCCCCCGTGGTCATCGCGCTGATCACAGGCTCTGTAACCAGGAACGTGGCACTGCCCAGCTGCAGCACAAACATAGCCACCTAAAAGGACAGAGGAGAGTTGGCCGTCACATTCAGGTGATATTCTCCAAGTTCCTAAAGAAATGAGTGCTAGACATACTTTTGATTATAGATGCATAGCAAATTGGGGAATGGGTTTCTTTAAGTTGATCTATTCAGTATTTGTGTGTTTTGAGAATATTACAAGGTTTAATAGTGTCCCAAATTTTACTAAGTACAGTATGCATGGTTTCATCAAAATTAGCCCAATGGTTTTCTCTCTGAATGTTGACCATTCTTTTCCTTATTGAGCTGCTGGGAATGCAGTCATCAGATCTGACCAGGCTTCTGCGTTAATTCCTACTGGAGTTCACAATACTGGAAAAAAAAATGCAATAAAACAAACTGTTGTTTAACTGTGCTGCAAAATTAGGAAACGATTTCCTTTAAAGGCAAAGAGAAAGATGTACTAGAATAACACGTGCATCTCTGTGGAAGAAAAATCAAATTCTCATTAACATACAAAATTTTCAAAGTATCAGAAAGAATCATGATTCACTACTTGATACCCAATAAATGTGTAACTTCAAAGGCATTGAGAAAAGAATGTCATCCCTGAGCTTCTGAAAAGCCTGATAAAATATCCCGGGCATCCACTCTAAAGACTAATGCCTCCTAAGAAGACAGCAGACCTGTCCTCAGGTAGGAATACAGATAGGGACAGATGATACAGATAGATGAGAACACAGACCAGAAGGGAATACTGACAGAGATGGGAATAGGGATGAAAATACAGATAGAGACAGTGTCTTAGTTAGGATTTCTATTGCTGTGGAGAGACACCGTGACCATGGCAACTCTTATAAAGGAAAACATTTAGCTGGGAGTGGGGGCGGCTTACAGTTTCAGAGGTTTATTATCATGGTAGGACATGGTGGCATGCAGACAGACATGGTGCTGAAGCTGAGAGACCTAAATGTTCATCAGCAGGCAACAGCAAGTGGTCTGAGACACTGAGTGTGGCTTGCGCATATATGAGACCTCAGAGCCCACCCCCACAGTGACACACTTCCTCCAACAACAACACACCTACTCCAACATTGCTACACCGCCTAATACTGCCATTTTCTATGAACACGTGGGGGGGTAATTACATTCAAACCACCACAAATGGGAGGGAGAGAGAGAGAGAGAGAGACAGACAGACAGACAGACAGACAGACAGAATACAGGAGGAGATAGAGAATAGGGATGTGTGTAAAGATGCAGGACTTTATAGAAATCACTATAAAAAACAGTTTTCTTAAACATTTTTTATGACCGCCAGCATTGCTGTGGGACAATGGTTTTACCCCGTAAACATTTGTTTCTTGTATTTGTTTAATAAAATGCTGACTGGCCAGTAGCCAGGCAAGAAGTATAGGCAGAGTGACCAGGCAGGAAGTAGAGACAGGACAATAAGAACAGGAGAATTCTGGGAAGAAAATTCTGCATTCTGCAATCATGACCTTGACACAGAGCAAGCAAGATGTGACTGCCTCACCAAAAAAAGTACCAAGACACGTGGCTAACTCAGACAAGAATAATGGGCTAATATCAGTTATAAGAGTTAATAAGAAGCCTGAGCTAATGGGCCAATCGGTTTATAACTAATGTAGACCTCTGTGTGATTTCTTTGGGACTTAACAACTGCAGGAACCCGGCAGGACAGAAACCTCAAACAACACAGCATCATCTTCTATTTCAAAATAAGCTCATAAAGCAAAAACATGCTCCTGCCATTTCTAGGACTGTATCTTTTGCCAGAGAAAATAGCAAGGGGGCTTTAAGAAGTTCTTTGACAGTTTAAACTCAGTCACAGAATCAGTAAAAAGTAACATTTATTAGTTCAAAAGTAACAGTAGATTATATTTGTGAGTATCCCTTCCAGAAAAAAGAAACAAGTAATGGCTTAATAATAGTATCTAGGTCAAGTCCTAAAATTCCTGCTGGAAAATGAAATTAAGAAAAGACCAGACAGAAAAATAGCAGAGAAATTTTCTGCAATCAAAAGGTTAACAGTGAGACGTAGACGTTCAAAATGTTATCTGCTACCACCAGAACATAAATTACAAAATGCGTGACATCTATATTATGATAGCATCGCAATTCATGTTTGGCTGCCAGCAATGATGCTCTCATATTAAGTGGCGTTTCCTGGGCAGAAGCTGGAACATTAGCTTTATGGTCCTCTTTTCTCCCACATCCTAAATATGTGGCTGTGGAAAATCTACTTCAGTCCTTTGAACTGAATCATCATCCGTAAGTTATCAGAATGATGTGTGTGCCCTGTCCATCTTTTCGGGCTGTGGCAAGGTGCATATAAAATAATACATGATAACGCTTTGAAACCTGTAAATCATGCAGGATGGGCAATACAGAAAGATGTCATGGGGTATTTTACATATCTGCTCTGCACAGAAAACAAGCTATTAGTTTTAAAGACGCAGATATGGCCACATCATTTTTTTCAACCCTGGAAGCTTTGACAGAATGTGAGTGCAGAAAGGGTTATATTGGAATTCTTGTGGCTTAGCAGCCACCCCTCACTCAATATCTGATAAGAGAAGAGTGAGAGGCATCAAGACAGAAATGAGCCCAGTTCCACTGCCAACACAGGAAGAGAAGGCTATGGCTTCTGTTACTATGCTTTGTTTTAAAAGCCTTGTGTCAGTTCGGAAAGTAGAAACAAGACCCTGTTGGAAACTCCATTGCAACCAAGCTTACATAGGCACTAATGGAACAAAGTGATCTTTGTGGCCTCTCTTGACTCTTGACATAGTCTGTTGATTTTATTCTGAAAACACAATCTAGAAAGACAGTGAACCAAGAATTCCCAAGTATCTCTGTATAAGCAAGATCACAAATTCCCACTTAGGGGCACTAACTCTTTTAGGTCATGATGATGAAATTAGCATTTTATTAAACTCCAAAGAACACCAGCTTTGGGTCTTCATTTTATCGAAATGAATCATACATGTAGTTCATTCACACCTTTAAAACTCTGGAAGCTGTTCACATAAATAAAAGGCTATGCACCCCTGGAAGGCTGGGAAGCTCCCCTCTTTGCAGGACTGTCAACACTTCAACTTCTGCCTTTGCTTTATGTCCTAAACTACAAAGTCTCTTCAGATGAGTTAATGGCTTGCTATGCCTGAGAAATCTGAAGTGGCCACTAACAGTAACTGCCTAAACTATGACCTTCCTAACAGCTTGGTCATTTCTACAACCTACGTTTCCAAACTGAAAGGTCCAGAACGACTCTAGGGTGCCATAAGAGTCCAACCATTTCAAATGGTGAAAACATTGAAGTCTACTAAGCCATAGAAATCAGAAACAAGGGCCTATCCTCTTTTAAAACACCAGAACCTCAACGATTGTAATACACTACATACCCACAGATCTATGCCTTTAAAACATTTTGCCAGCAAGGGGCAAACATTGGGAACAGAGAGTTCTTGAGTGGAAGGCCAATGGGTCCTTCAAGAACTCTTTATGACGTGGACCACTGGGCAGGGATTGAAAACATACAGGAGACAGTACTTTCTTTTGTCTTACCCTTTCTTTATTTTCAAGTTTTTGGAAACCTAGCTGTACTTACTGTATCTGTAGCCTTACCTTCTTAAGAGTGTCATGTGAAGAGAATCATAATAGTTACTTTTACTTAAAATATAAATTGAGGATTCATTCAGGTCTTTGAATATTTGAAGTTTCCACAGCATTCTTCATAATCCAGATCAATAGCAGATACAAGGAGGAGAAGAAAGGGATGAAGGGAAGAAGAGGATGGGCAAGGAGAGAAGTGGGGAAAGAAGAGTGTTAAAGAACTCCCTTTTCCCATCATCCAAACTGCACAAGTTTGTTCATGGGGGAGTTGATCTGGTACACAGAAATTGCTATGTACAACCTGAATGCAGCAAATTCTGGAACAGGCAGCGTTGGAAAGGGAACCCACAGTCTAGTCCAAGATCATCTACAAACTTAAAATGCAAAGTGGAGATTCTCAAGAATATTTCACTTAGGCCCAGTATTAAGGATTTTGAAGCTCCTTTTACCAAAATAGATGATGTTGATTTTATTATGGCTAATCAACTCCCCCAAATAGTCATGCAATATCTAAGGAGAGCACAGATTTCATGCAACGTACTTCAGCAGTTCACAACAATACCAATGTTCTAGGCTAATGCTTAAAACCTCAAACATGTATTATCAAGATTCACTATCGTGGTATTATTTAGTCATAGCTGTATAAAAAAATCATGTGTTATATGCAAATTAAATGCATTTCAGATTTTGGTCAATTCTTTCAAGTGACCTTCAGACAATTTTTAAAGTTTGATCAGGAAATGTCAATATGAGACAGCATGCATGTCAGGTGTGGTTGCTGTTCTGGGTATCTAGCCTACTCGCTATGGCAAATCACTGACTTGTCCATTGATTGAGTACTTGTGGGACACCCAGTCTGAGATAGGCGTAACACTGCTGCAAATTAGAGGACTTGATACATAGTTCACAGCTCAAAATATAGACTAAGAAAAGGTGAAGTTTCAGTCTGCAGTCATCACCCAGACACAGAGGAAGCAAGATGAGATTGCTAAAAAGGTACCAAGCCATGTGGCTAACACAGATAAGAATTATGGGCTAATATAAGTTATAAGAGTTAATAAGGAGCCTGAGATATTAGGCCAATAGGTTTATAATTAATGTAGGCCTCTGTGTGATTTCTTCAGGACTTAACCTCTGGGGGAACCAGGCAGGACAGAGACCTCAGTCAACACATGACTTTCTAAATACGTGGAAAAGAATAGCAGATGTCCTCTACATAATTCCAAAGCTGTATGCAGATTGTCCCCACACCTTAATTCCCATTTTCTACAACATTCACTCAAAAACAGGCTACATGACAGTGCCTGTGGTCAATGGACTTTACAGATATAT